GTGGGGTGGGGGTTCTTGTGTTGCATGCCGGAGGGGATGGCTTACTCCGGGCGCGTTGGGCTTTTTTTTTTTTTTTTTTTTTTTTTTTTTTTTTTTTTTTTTTTTTTTTTTCTTGGGTCTTTGTGGGGCTCTGTGTGGTCCGGTTGCTTGTGTGTGTGTGGTTGTTGTTTTTGAGGTGGGTGGGTGGGTTGGTGGTGTTTGATTTTTTTTTTTTTTTTGGGGGGGGATTTTTTTTGCTCTTTCTCTCGTCCTGCGTCTTCGTCTTTCTCTTGGTCTTGGTCTTGGTCTTGATCTTCGTCTTCCTCTTCTCTCACTCTCTTTCCTTCCCTCCCTTCCTCCCGCTCCCTTTTCACTTTCCCCTCCACCTCCCCTCTCTCCTTCCTCCTCCGCGCTCCCTCTCCCTCCTTCTCCTTCTCCTCCCCCCTCTTCCTTCCCCCCTCCCTTCCTCTTCCTTCCCACCCTCCTCACTCCCCTCTTTCCTTCCTCCCTTTATCCCTTCATCTCTCCTTCCCACCCTTCCTCACTCCCTCTTTCCTTCCCTCCCTTTCATTCTCCATCTTTCCTTACCGTCCCTCTTACCTCTTTTACTTATATACGCTCCCCCCCCCCTTCCTCATTTTTTCTCATTTTCCCCATCTCCCTTCCTCCCCTTCCTCGAATTCCTGCTCCATACTCCACGCTCTCTCTCAGCCCCACCATCCCACGCTGAATTCCACTCACCGCTGATTCCCACCACATTTTTGTTTTTCTAACCAACCAACTCCCCCTCTCATGACTCACCAGCACCCCCGACAACAACACACACACCTACAGCAACCACCACCTTCCCTACCCATCAGTACCTCCACACCAAGCTCTCACATCCCCATCAGCATTCCTTCACTCTCCACAACACCCCCCATCAACACCCCCCACCCCTAACCAACATCCCCACCCATCGCCAACACTCCAACACCCCCACAACACCCCCACACCCCACATATCACACACCCTCCACCAACACCCCCCACACCCCCACAATACCCCCACACCCCAACAACATCAGCACACCTCCACCAATACCCCACACCAACACCCCTCTCCTACCCTCACACCCACACCTACACCCCACTAACACCCACACCAAACCCCCTCTCCTACCCTCACACACCCACACCTACACCCCCACTAACACCCCAACACCCATACACCCCCTCTCTACCCCTCACACCCACACCCTCACCCCCCACTAACACCCCACACCAGCACCCCACCCCCAACCCCCACCGCTGCCGCCACCGCCCTCTCACCGTGGGAAGGCAGTGTGGGAGGCCATATGATTTACCCAAAGTTGAGGGAGGAAGGCGGGGAAAATGGATTTTTTTTTTTTCTTTTCTCCTCTCTCTCTCCTCTCTCTCTCATTCTCTCTCTCATCTCTCTCTCTCTCTCTCTCTCTCTCTCTCTCCTCTCTCTCTCTTCTCTCTCTCTCTCTCTCTCTCTCTCTCTTTCTCCTCTCTCCTCCTCTCCTCTCTTCTCTCTCTCTCTCTCTCTCTCTCTCTCTCTCACTCTCTCTCTCTCTCTCTCTCTCTCTCTCTCTCTCTCTCTCTCTCTCTCTCTCTGCTCTATCTCTCTCTCTCTCTCTATCTACTCTCTCTCTCTCTCTCTCGTCGCTTTCTCTCTCTCTCGCTCTCTCTCTCTGCTTTCTCTCTCTCTTTATTTTTATTATTTTATGATCATTATTATCATGATTAATGTCACTCTTATTTTTTTATTGAATATTAAGTATTTGCATTACTATTGCTGTTTGTTATTATTCTTGTTATTATTGTTAAATTCGGTATCAATTAATTATTGTTATTGGTTATTGTTTTTTTTTGTATTGTTGTATTTTAATTATTATTATTATATTATTTTTATTATTTTGTTATTATCATTATCATCGTTATCATAGGTTTTAATGGTCATAATTTTGGTGTAGAAAGGGAATGGAACGTTATAAAGGTTGTGGTGTGATTACAAGCCTCCTCTCTATAGGCCTATGTACCTTACCCAGCGCTGCCAATGCCCATACCCGTACCCATGTCCATAACCATACCCATAACTATACATAACATCACCTACCTTAACCACCATTATATATTCACACCCACATCCATGCCCCACTTCCTTCCCTTACCCCAGGCCTATTATACTGTACCCATACCCATACATTTGCACCTACCTTAACCACCATTGTATCTGACATCCATGCCTATACCCATATCCCAAACCCTTTACATACCTATAGCCGTACCCATATCCATATCCCGTTCCGTATCCGTATCCGTACCGTATCCGTACCCAACATGTACCCGTACCCATACCTTTGTACCCATTCCCGTACGCATATCCATACCCATACCCATACACTTGAATCAACTGAAACCACCACCCAGATCCGACGCCCACTAAACCCATCTGTAGCCCCCTACCGACCTCCCCCCTCACCACCCTAGCCCATACCTCAAACCCACACCCTCAGACCGCCCACGTCCACCTACCGCAAAACACCCAGCCCGCCCACCCACCTACCTAGCGCGCCACACCCTCATCCGCCCACCCCCGCCCCCACCTACCGCCCACACCCTCATCCGCCCACCTACCGCCCGCCACACACCCTCATCCCGGCCAACCCTCATCCCCCACCTACCGCTCACACCCTCATCCGCCACACCCTTATCCCGCCCACCTACGCCCACACCTCATCCCGCCCACACCCTCATCCGCCCACCCTACCGCCCACACCCTCATCCCGCCCACACCCTCACCCCGCACCTACCCGGCACCCGCCACACGCCTCATCCCGCCCACCCTCATCACCGCCCACCTACCGCCCACACCCTCATCCCGCCCATCTTCGTTTCCCGATACAAATTCCAGTCAAGGGTATTGATTGAATGGCCGTTAGTCTGGGTTCCTTGGGGGCGGGGGGGGGGGTATTGCTCCTTGGTCGTCTTAGGAGGGGAGGGGGGAGGGGGAAGATGTTAGAGGGGGGAGGCAGGTAGGGGGGATGGGGGAGAGACGGAGGAGGAGGAGAGGGATAGAGGGAGGGGGAGGTGGAAGAGGGAGGAGAGAGAGATGCAGGGAAGGGGAGAGGAGGAGGGAGAGACGGAGGAGGAGAGGGATAAAGGGAGGGGGAGGAAGGGGGATGAGGGAGGAAGGGAGGAGAGAGAGATTTCAGTCCTGAAATCCAAAACAAAGAAAGGGGAGACAGACAGAGAAGTGGGGGAGTGAAAACGCTAGAAATAGAAAAAGAAAAAAAGAAAGAGAGAGAGAAAGAGGTGGGAAGCGTCGCGACGGTGAGCAAACGAATGAAAAAGGAGAAAGAACTTTGTTACGGTGTGAAGGCTGAGGGTTGGGGGGGGGGGAGAAGGAAGCGAGGTGGGCGGGTGAAGGACGGGAAGGAAGATGGAGAGAGGGAAGATGCTATGAATGGAGGGCAAGATGGAGGGAGGGGGAGGAAGGGAGGAAGAAGGAGAGAGAGACAGAGGGAGAGGAAGTGGAGAGAAGGAGAGGGAGAGGGAGGAGAGGAGGGAGGGTACGATGGCTGGAGGGCAAGGAAGAGGGAGAGGAGGAGGGAAGGGAGAATGCGGTAAAGGGAGAGAAAGATGGAAGGAGAGAAGGAGGGAAGGGAGAATGCGATAACGGGAGAGGAAGGTGGGGAGGGAGGACGAAGGAGAAAAGGAGGGATGATGGACAGATAGAGGATGCGATTGAGAGACGGAAAGATAGAAGAAAGGAGGGAGAGAAGGCAGGGGAGAGGAGAGGAGAGAGAAGTGCGAGGGAGAGACGGAATATAGAAGAAAGGAAGGAAAGAAGGCGAGAGCGAGGAGAGGAGAGAGAGGTGCGAGGGAGAGACGGAAAGATAGAAGAAAGGAGCGAGAGAAGGCGAGAGTGAGGAGAGAGGTCGAGAGGGCGTGGTGGTGGGCGTGGTGGTCGAGGGGGGCGCCCGCTTTGTTATGGCGTCTCTCTTTAAGCACGTGTGCGGGGCGGCGGGGGCTTAGTCGGCCGCTCGTTATCCGTATTTTTCTCTCTTTCTCTTTCGTCATACCTGATTTTCCATTTTTCGTCGTCTTTTTTTTTCTTCTTCTTCTTCCTCTCTCCCGCCCGTTCTTGTCTTCTCTTCATTTTTTTTCCTTCTCTCTCCCTTCCCTTCTTTTCTTTTTCGTTTCCCTCTTCTCCCCTCTCCTTCCCTCCCTTCGTTCCCTTTTCTTTCCTTCTTCTCTCTCCCCATTCCTTGTCTCTTCGCTTCCTTTCTCCTTTCTTCTCTTCCTTTCCCTTCCCTTTCGTGCCTTTCCTCTCGTCCCTTCCTCCTCCCTTACCTTTTCCTTTCCCCCTCCTCCCTTCCTCCCTCCTTCCTCCCTCACTTCAACCACCCCTCCCTCACTTCAACTCCCTCCCTTACTCCCTCCTTTTACCCCTTCACTTCAAGCCTCCTCTTTCCCTCCCTCTCTCCTCCCTCCTTTTACCCTCCCTCCCTTTACTCCTCCCTCCCTTCCTCCCTCCTTTTGCCCCTCCCTCACTTCAAGCCTCCTCTTTCCCTCCCTTCCTCTCCCTCCTTTGCCCCTCCCTCACTTCACCCTCCTTTTCTCCTCCCTCCCTTCGTCGACGCTCTCGCTTTTCTCCTCTTTATTGCAGTGTCCGCCTCCCACCAGCTCTCTGTTTGACTGCGATGAAAACATTTATTGAAACGAAGACTGGCTTGGGTTTTGCTCTTGGTAAATGTGATTTTCTGTTGGAGTCGCGTCTTCCGATTTTTGTCTGTATTTTTCTCTCTCTCTCTCTCTTTCTCTGTGTCTGTCTGTTTTCTCTCTTCTCTCTCTCTGTGTCTTCTGTTCTTCTCTCTCTCTCTCTCTCTCTCTCTCTCTCTCTATGTTGTCTTCTTCTTCTCTCTCTCTCTCTCTGTTTCATGTCTCTGTTTCTCTCTCTCTCTCTCTCTTTCTCTGTCTGTCTGTTTCTCTCTCTCTGTTTCTGTCTGTCTG